CTACTAGTAGTAATAGTGACTCCTCTTGCCAATCTGTCCATGACTATACATATGAGAAGGAACTTCTTCCAACTGAAATATGGGCGACCATTTAAATATTACGTTAAGAAGTTCTGCGATAAATGTGCGAGGTGTTCATTTTGGTGGGTGTTTATTTTCGGAGCCACTGCATCATGCAAATAGTGCAACTGTCATGAAATGACAATGGTACGGGAGCAAATCCAAAAACCCACGGTAGAGTATCTTCCTTTTCAATCTTCTCCCTCTCCCAGGCAATGTTGTAAGTTAAAGCATCATTTTCCTGGAAGAAGTTTGAGCAAGGCAAAGACCACGAGACTAGCAGAATTTAATGACGCCATGCAATTTCGGGACCTCTTATTCGACTGCAAACGGTCATGGCCTATTAATAAGAAAAACACAAACTACCCAACCAAGTGTCGACCCAGAATATTGAAACTTGATAGGTAAATAGAGAATGGGCTGTTGGCTTTAGATGCGAGTGCGCGTGGTGAAGAGAAAGGCAGCCCTTGGGTCGACCGTATGGCCAGTGTCCTCGAGGTGCTTCGTGACTGGACTCTTAAGTATTTTGTTTTCTGTCCTAAGCAACAACTTCGGTGTATGTTCAACTGACCGCGTGGCCAACTGCCTTTGCATGCACCAAATGTATTTGTGTCTGCAACTACATGTAAACTCATAAATACAGTTTGATTTGGTGAAACGGATTCACTCTGTAGAGGAACATGAACATAAGATGACTTTGAGTAGGCTATCCACCTAAATATCATCATTTGCTAGGAAGAACTCGTGTAATATTTCTGTCAAAAAAGACTTCTGGCAAACGACAGGCCGTTTACTTCAGTCGTATGTCAAGTCCTTTCTGTCTGTGTAAAGCGCACATTAAAATCTGGTGGTAGTTAGACTTCTTTTCCCGCACCGCCGAGACTGCCGAACCTGCATTACTGTGGTTTGTTTTGTCTTGTTGCACACAGCGAACGGTTCTGCGACAATCCCGAGCCCCAAAACGGCGGATCCTACTGCGTCGGCGATGCCATGGAAACTCGATCCTGCCTGCAGAAGTTCTGCCC